CTATTGAGTTATATAAAAATGTATTGAATTTGTGTATTTTTTAACATTTTTAAATATAGTATTATATTTAATTAGATATGTATATATACGCTTCCAACACATATTCGTTTCCAACACGTATCCGTTTTCTAATTTTTTTTTAAAAGTTGTTTATGCTTTTTTATACGCTTCCGCTTCCCCATATTGGTTATGTTTTTATGCAACGTTAAAATTATATAAAAAATTAATATAATTTTGACACAAACTTATGTGTTGTGTTGCAATATCGCCTTTAAGTTGTACAGCACATTAATCAATGAAGTGATTTTAATGTTCTTTCGAATACAACTTTAAAAAAAAAAATCTGAAAGAAAACTACCTACATGATCTGAATCATGACCAAATCATGGTTATCTATACATCTCAATAATTAGCTAAGAAAAACATTGTTTTTACCTTTGAATTTCAAATTTCGTGTCTCATAGTCTTGATGTCGAGAATAGAGACAGCGAGAGCATCATATTTATATCAATTCTAGTCTTTTGTTCGCTCATGTAACCAATTTCTAGTTCCATACATTTTTTTATTTGGCTTATGCCTTTTATGCGTGTTATTTTCCTAAGTAGCAGAGGCAGAGTTCTGTTCTCCATACTGCCAAAGCAACCATAGATATATACCTATCATTTCCATTTAACCACTTAAACACCATCCCAAAGGTCGCATGAGAAATTTTATCTCCAAGATTTATAGTATAGTGTTTTCACTGAATATTCATAGTCGGGAAAAGGTCAACAAATATGAAATTTTTTAGCAACTGAAATTTGTGTCTCTGAATGATTCAACGGTTTAATTAAAAAAAAAAATTTGGTTAAAGACGGTTTTAAAATTATAGCATCCCTTAGAACATGTTTCTAGGTAGTAAATATGAATAAATATAATAGGGTTTTATGTATTAAATCTATTTAATTAAATCAAAACTCATATTATCCCATATTTGGGTAATTATACATCTCTCTCTTTTCTCTTTCTTCATTGATCTTAATACAATTAATATTATAAAATTCATATATTACCCCAATATATTTTACTATCTATAATCATGCTCTTATATCGCCACAAGGGATGTGAATCATGTCAAATAAACAAGATTGTCAAAGCAACACTTAAGAGTCAACTACGAAACAAGAACTGAAGAGTAATATAAATATTACATGCTAGAATAAAATTGGTTGACTATATATGATCTCAAGATTGCTAGAATAAGCAAAAATTGTAAATCTATCAAATATATTTGCACTCTTTTAAATTACTAATGTTATAGAATATTATCTTGAGAAGAATAATAACTGAAGACTCAACTACGAAACATTGTAGATTGAATGTTCGAAGCTTGAACAAAATAACAAGAGGCAAGCAAATATTACATGCAAATGCAAAGGAAAAACATTTTTTCCTAAAGCGACAAACACATCCAATTTAAACCCTATACTTTCCATAGCACATGTCGATTAAAAGTCAAACTTTCCTTTGCATATCCTCTAGCAAAGCTCTTTTACTGGTATCACTGCTTTTGTCAATATATTGGCCCTCTCGTATCCCGCTTTACATTTCAAGAATCATCAGCTGCATCAATGTCTTTTTGAGATGCCACAACGCCTTTATCTCAAATAGAGTCTATATGCCACAGCGCCTTTATCTCAAACAGAGTAAGTCCTTGAAGCCCTTCAAACTGTGAGGTTACCCATCTAATCCGTTTAAGAGCAAGTTGAAGAATTCGAACTGGCTATTTGGTAATCTATTCAAGACACTCGTTACACTTAAAAGTCGGATCAAAAGATTGTCCATATGGATTTTATTAACTGCTACAGAATAACCAGTGGCGTGACGTGATGCTGAAATTAAAGTAGATAAGATGTTTCAATTGATATAAGGAAAAACGTGGGAGAGAATGATGTTAAACCTTGTTGTTAACATCTCTTCACGTCTTCTTTGCCTGTCACCGTCGGTTACAGGATGCAAACGCCTCAGCAAGCTGGTGAAGGAGACGGGAAATTAGATTGACAATCATTTACATTCCTGGAAAATGAAGACAATTAGAGAGCAAAGAAACAAATACTAAGCATCTCATGATATAAACAAATGTTTCTGTGATGGTTACAACTTATAGATGGGACGAGATGGTAAGAACACTGACTTGAATATATTCCCAAGCAGCAAGTGAACCAGGGAAACGACTCAAAACTCCATTTTTCTTCGGGACAAAGCTATTACGAATCAGTTAAAAGCATTATCCTCATTCCTTTAAAACAATAACCTGAATCTAAAATGGAGTACCTGTGTGGTTGGTGTAGGAGCCCGACTAAGCTATTGTTATCCTCTCAGTTGCATCAATCCTTTTCACATTAGGTTTTGTTCTATTTAACTAAAGCCTTTAGCATCATCATTGAATTGTAAATTGTAATCTACAATGGTTTCGAAGCATGAAACATATAGAACCAAAAACAACATGAATGATCTAATTTCTGAAACTGGGAAGAGAAAGAGCCCTGTTCGTTCATATAAATCCATTCAAAGAAAATGAGGATTTGGAAGACTAATTTCAGCATAATTCTTTCCTAACTTACAACCCAGACAAGAGAAAGATGGAAATTACAGATAAAAGTTTTATTCTTTTCATTGAGAAATTGAAGACCTAAAGAGGAGAAGAAGTTTTGAGAATAAACGATTCCTTTGCATAAAGCCAGTCACAGTTGTTCGATATTGTCCTGGAACTGTCGCCATTTCGAAACCTACAGATACACCAAAAAGCAACGTATCAAATCGGAACCCTAGCTGAAAAAGGCCAAAGGAGGAGAAACGATTGAAGGTGAAGATATGTGAGAGGTCCATGAAATTTCCGCACGCAGACACATACGGAGACAAAGATCGAGGCTTGTTTTGAATGACCAAAATCAGGTTAGGGAAGCTGCATAGAGATTTAGCGTCCGAACACTTAGCTTGTTGACTATTTCTGATTCGAAGCAGAGATAAAAGGAAATCATAAGATATTAAAAATTCAGGTATGAGAGGAAGACGAAGATGAAAAGGTATGAAACGAAAAGGCTTTCAGAACTCCAATCGCTAGAAAAGATGATGGACACGCATCAATTATATACCACGCCAGGTGTTTAGGCAACTATTATAGTATAGATTTCATTAATATTCAAATTTTAAATCATGAAAGATGGTTCGTTTCTCCAAAGGATAAAACAATTATTCAAAGGGAAGTGTTTTCTCGATCTTGAAGTTCATATACGAGTTATATACTGTAATAATTAGTGATAACCATAGTCCATAGACCATGAATTTTTTACAAACAATTGTCAGTCTCAGTTTGACCGCAACTTAATAATCATCACACTCACGCATGTATGAATATCCAACCAAAACCCCAAACACACACAGAAGCATGTACTATACTAAAAACATAGTAAGCTAATTATCTTGGAATGTATCATACTATATCCTACTCGTCAATTTGATTTATATCATAAGTATGAAAAATATAGAGCTTTTGATGCTAAATCCGACCCATAAGTAGTTTTTAAAAGGGAGATTTATAAATTTCCGACTCAGAAAACTCACGTAGCTATATTAGCCTTCAACCAAATATCCAATGCTCTAACACCGGAATTTTGAACTTTGATGATGGCCAATGGAAACCTCAATTCGCAGAACTCGATTAACACACAGTTTAGGATTTGTGTAATCACTTTTACAAAGATATAATTTCGATTAAAAGATGGTTCGTTTCTCCAAAGGATGAAACAATTATTCAAAGGGAAATAGATGCTTGAAATTAAAACAAAGGATGATAAGTAGTCTTGAAAGCATAAGGTAAAAGGTAAAGATAGAGTATGAAAATACTTGGAAGTTGAAAAGTGTTTCAACTCTTGGTTTTTCCATGAATGATGACACTTCAAAAGTTCCGTCACTCCTCTTTATATAATTCAAGGATCCAATTAGCATAAGCGCCATAACTGATTTTTGGGAGCTTGAAACCAGCTTCCATAGCCAAATAATCAAATTCTTCTTTGGTTCTCTCTTTGCCTCCAATCGTTTTAGCCATCATTACCACATCCATATGTAATATAACTTTGGTTGCTAGATCAGTTTCTGATATTTCTCGCGGCATTATTGATTCAACTATAATCACTTTCCCGTCTTTCGGTAATGCTTTCTTACAATTTTTCAATATCTCCACACATTGTTCGTCACTCCAATCATGAAGTATCCACTTAATCATCCAAAGCAGAAGAAAAAACAAATTATTAGTGTTAAGACTATTACTAGCTAATGTCATACTCTTAAGTTATTGACGATGATCTCATGTATTCGTTTATTTCAAGTATTGAAAATTTATTGAAGATCGTATATACATATGTATTGTGAAACAGGTAGGTTTACCTTCAGTAATATGGCATGACCTTGTGGAACTGCATCAAACATATCACCACCAACGTGTTCCACGCCTGACAAATAGTTGATCTTTAATAAACATAGGATCCGTAGTTGTTTACCAATAATATATATAGAGACAAAATTTATTCCGTCCCATGGGAATCGTTCGTTGCTAATCAAAAAGCATTTCAAAGTAACCCTTTGCTAAATTTCACGACAGTTTTATAGGCCTTATCAAGTAGCTAATTAACAGCTACTTCATTAGCTCTTTATTTACCAACAATATTATGATGTCTTTGAATTTTGGATGACACATCGATAATACTAGCACAAACTTACTGAATCACATGTTTTTTTTTTAATTATGGCATTTTTGCAAAATGGTAATTGTCTTTCTTTTCTCAAATATTTGATTTGAGACTTTTAAAAATATCACTCCACATTTGAAGTGACACTTTTCTTTTCAACTATAGATAGTCCATCTGCGATGACGTGAGGCAAATCAAAGTTAACACCTTTGAGATGTGGGAACTTTGAAAGAATTCGGGAAAGATTTGCGCCNAAGTTACCTCCTACGTCTACCAAAACGCCATCACTTAGACTCTCGAAACCATTGTAAGTCTTTACTAACTTCTTCATTAGTAATGATGTGTGGTTAACCATCATCTCGTTGAATTCCGTCAATGCACTCTCATTCTTTGCCATATGCTCGAAAAGTGACGACCCTCTGGCTCTCTCGAAGGGCTTTAATCCACCTTCTAATATTGACGCAGTGAGGTGGGACCTTTTTGTGCAAAAGGAAACTTGCATTAGAACATATTGAGAAAATTTTACTCCACATTAGAAAAAAACAAAAACTTTCATCGATTATCGATTCCTCAAAAATGTTATGAAAGCAAAAACAAAAAATGTTAAAATTATTATGAAAACAAATTCCTCAAAAATTAATATGACATTTTAAAAGAAATATAATTATTTTTACCTTCACGCAATTTTGCTAGTCGCATGTATAATTTATAAACAGATCCGTATCTAGAAAGTTATTTTTACCTTTACGAATCCGAATATTCTAAAATTCTAAAATATCAAATCCATGTTCATCTTTAAGTAGAATGAAAGATGGTTTCTGCCTATTTTTTGTTTCTTTTTGTAGTTTGAATTGGAGACAAACAAAATAAAAAAACAGTAGCTCTTAATAAAACTCATACTAGGAATCATCTTCAATTTTGCGGATTTGATTAACCACACTAGACGCCATAGAAAATCCATCTTCATCCTTAATAAGTTTTTTTCTAGCTTTTTCTACTCCATAAACTCTAAATTCTTTTCTATTTTCGTCCTTCACCAACTTACAAGTACATACCGAATAAGCAACAAGAAGACGTAGCAATCGATCGATCATCATTGGAGCGTCTGGATTTTCTGGAGCGGCTTTGGAAGCCAATTCCAACAGTGACAGATAAGTCCCCAAAGGTTCACCCTTGGCCATAATCTCCAATAAATCCAATTCTATGGCAGTTTTTATAGCGTAAGGGACGATGCAAATACCATTTAATTGCGTGATTAGTAACATATCTTCTTCCTCTTGGTCGAAAGATCCTCGGAAGTTGTGTGTAGAATTCATATTTAGTATACTTTTGAAAATAAAGAATCAGACGTGCAATGAAAGAGAAGAAAGGAAAATGGTTTTGTGTAAGTATTTATATGAAAATTATGAGCTACGTACATATTCTATTTATATGCAAATGCACGTCTTTTTAATAATAATAAGACGTGGCAATGAGATGGAACACGTGGCATTGAGATGGAACATGAGATGGAACACGTGGT